TGATCCATTTCTTTAACGCTACTTCATATATAAGATTTCAATCAAGACTGACCATAATTTAATAAACATATGTTATGCTAATGAAATCAATCGTTCGCTTGATAATGAAAGGTAAAAATTTATATGCAACCAATAATTATATCGGTTGTAAATCACCTCGTAATCTTTAAGCTTTCGAGCTATGAAAAGCTATAAATATGTGTATATGTGTGTGTGTGTGTGTGTGCACTCCTATCCGAAAGAGAGAACAAAATGAAGAATTCAGGATGTAGATAGATATAATTCTGTAGGTTGTCTGTAGGGCTGACATAACTAACATTGCTCCCGATAACTATACGTAGCATGGCTGTGGACGCTTTGCGCTTGGGAAAGCCATTAGCGTCCAAAGCAGCCCACGAACCGCATTCCCTACTGCCTTTCGTCCTCCTTGAGCTTGTCTCCTTCTATCTCTATCTCACCAGCAACGCCGACCAGCATCTTTGCATAACGAATACCGATGGTGCTCTCTCGTACGTTATATCTACGTCTTAAAACGCGTACGATAGTCAAATGTCTAAAATATTTTTCATTTTTCTTATAAAATTGAGAATCTAAAATTGCAATTCATTTATAACTTTAAATGATGTAGAAAATAATGTAGAAAAAATAATATAAAAGTTTAAATAACGTAAAAAAAAGTTAATGGATATTTTAATCAAATTAATTATATTGCAGACAATATTTTCCTTTTATCTCTTTTACGTCTACGCAACTGAAAAAGATTAACACACGGAAAAATTGCCGCTTGCTCGATTCTACTGTGCAAGTTATTATTCAGAGAGAAAAATCAAATTGTAAAGAATTTTGATCCCTTTCCGATAACTCATGGAAATAGAAAACATAATGAATTGAATAAGCTTGCCATTAGCTATTCTATTTGAGTCAAATTCAATCTTCACGGTATTACGTATCGCATCGATTGTTAAGTGCTATACCATTAATCTGAAGTTCAGCGCGCGCTAACATAACGTCCTTATCAACTTATCTAGAAATTAAATCAATCCCAACTTCGTAGTTTCCGAAGATATGGCTACGATATCGGGGCCGCGAGCGGAAAGATTACAATTTCGAACATGGAGTTTCTCGTTTGAAGGGAAGGAAACACGATGCTGGTTGGTTTCAGTTTGGTCTGCCTGTTCACCCGCTTCCGGGTAGGAAGTAGTGCACAGGTTACAGAGATCGAAACGCTACTTCCACCCACCTCCCAACAGACGTCATTGCACGCTCGGCATATTGTTGTCCGATCAACCCTCCTCTCGCCGCATCCCTTGCATTTTGCAACGTCCGCACATTCGCAGCGATGCTACTCTGCGATGCTATTTTATTTTGTTTATATTGCCAACAGAAATATCACAAAGTTTATAGAATCTGTTCGGGAAATTTTTTGACGGTAATTTGAAATGTTGCAAAAACTATTGGGAAGATGAAACTGATGAGACGTTGATTCGTTGCTATTGGATGATCGTATATTGTGCGGTCGTTGCAATTTGCTTGAAGCAGCAGTTGTTGAAGTTGCGTCAGCAACCGGTCAACGTCTCCTCAGCATGCCTGGATTTGCCGAGTACCTCTGCCGCGACGCAATTAAATTGATTCCCTAGTTTATTTAGTTCCGAGACGGAAATTCATCGATAACTGATGTTTCTGTGTTAGTCGATGTGTGTGGTTTAGATCAGCGAGTTTGTCGAAATTTCAGAATTGGATATCATGTTGGCAAGTAAAGACCAATTTCATTATTGTGTTACAGAGTTGAATGGTCACTTGCTAACTAGACGTTGTTAATTTCTTTATTTTTAGTCAATTCAAGATTAAATATTAAAACCGGCAGAATCGCAATGAATACAAGATTCATTGTTGTATGCTAGTGTGCTATGTTTCTTCGTGATAATAGAAACACGATAATTGATGTAAATTACAATCATGTAAATTACATCTTTCACAATATGCGTAGCATCGAAAATTAGAATCATAAAATTGTACCAATTTTAATTCTGCTCATTAATTTTGTGACTTTTGTTTTAAATGATGTATCCCCATATATGTAAATATTTCACGAAATATTCATTATAGTAACAATTACAATATATGGCCAATTATTAATTATAATAAAATTCAAAATGATAGTAATCGAAGCAAAGAAATACATCGACTTATTGAAATAAAATGATGAAAAAGATTTTTCTTCCGCAACTATACACATCGACAAATTAAATTGTCAGTTTTTAATATCCCATGCCTCAAAATTCGTAATATAACGTTCTCACAAACTACATTGCAAAACGACTGAAATGTCGAAACATTCAGCCTGAAAATTAAGGGAATCCCCGCGTATTTCTCATCGAAGCAATTTCCGTATGCAATTGACGAGAAATACTTTCGCTTTTTGGACATGCAACATTTACTTGGCGCGCCAACGGACATGTTCCGTGAAGTAATAAATAATGCAAAATCGAGATTAATATCATATATCGCGCATGGCAAAGTTTGGACAAACTATCGTGCACACCCGCAAACGTCGACAGATGGCGACGAGCTGTGCGCCTATGTCGTTCCTTTCCTAATGTATTCAGTCCTTTGGCCTGTTGGACCACATGTTGTTATAAAACACAGAGGCGACGGCTGCGTTTATCGTGAATTTTAGTTACGGGGCCGTCAAATTTTCCATCCTTACCTGACGCGCCATTCTTTTTGTATGACGCGTGCGAGAAAAGCGCGTGAAACTATTTGAATTTACATATGCTCCAACAAATTCACGCAATTTACTCTTTAGGATTAAAAATATTAACAACGTCGTTTCAATATGTTGTTAGCTATAAAGTTACATTTAATACAAGAAATTAAAAGATTTCGGTCAATTAAAATAATTTTAAAAGGATTTAGATTACATTAGTTTCTCATTTAATTTCATATAGATTTGTAAACATCAAAGGTGAAGAGATTATGTAAACTGATGCTTTCAAAATATTGTGTAAAATTACTCGAGTGAATTTATATTTTGCGAAAGCCCATCGAGGTTCTTTCATGCAATTTGAAAAATTCGCAGGAAACCTTTGATAGCACGAAAGAAATCGAACTGGGAATAGAGCTAACCGTAGAATTTTCTTCACTGGCAGCATATTATGTTTTCGAGTTTCAGCATTAAACTTCAAAGACTTCTCGCCTAGTTTTCAGCCGAAGTTGGCGCGATATCGCTTCTTGCCCCGGGGAAAATAAATTTTCCGACGTTCACTGAGTCGACGTTGAAATTCCGTCGCGGGAAAAATGCGATGGATCGTATATTGATATACGCGGAGAGAAGCGCGTTAGCCGTAATTGCAGCCTACATATGACGCAGTGATGCTGTGCGGTAAACATTTTTTTTGACAGTAGTCGATACTTTTCGGACGAAAATATCGTTGGCTAGTTTAACCGCGCTTGAATAATCGATTATTGTCCGCGTCAAAAATTTACCATCGCCTCTATATTTGTTCGCGCGCGCTTTGTATCGAAATAATCGAACCTATCAAAAGTGATACGATTTCGCATGATACATGGATACAAGGGCTCATAAAATGTTACCGCGACGGATGCTCCGACATCACGACATCATGCTCCGTTTTTATTCGTGGCATTTTACACAATCGTATGTATTTTTCCATCATCGCAAATTATTGGATTCGGTTTGTGTGCAACGCAATTTTCACGAGACGTGAAATTCGCCAGAAATACAATAACACGACTCTTTCATATTATGCTGTGCCATAATCTTGCATTTGAAAAAAATTATATTTTATTATGCGTGTGATTTCAGATTATTACGTGTTATTCAAAAATATAATATGTATATTTGAATTCACATTCCATATTATCATTGATGGTCGAGGTCGTTATTGCTCGAATTCTGCTCAAATATTGTTCGAGATTAATTCACTCTTCATAACAGAAGTCTACTGATATTGCTATAATGCACATAAACTACCATTTTCCGCTATCAGTGGAATTACGTTACAACAATATCATTGAAAATTTTAAAGTCCTTATCCGGTTTAAGTGACATCTGTTTCCAATATATAAACAATTTAATATCGCTTGAAAATTAATTTTTAAATCTTAATTTAATTTAGAAAAATGCTTTTTTATACAGCGATAAAACCTTCGACTTTCATTAACTGTGCAATCTTTATTTTCCATCCATAAAAGAAGATGTGACACAAGACTTCTTTTTCTACGAGCAAACTTGTTGCTTATGTGTCGTTCGACTTCTGGAGACTCTGGAGCAGTTCCAAGGTATGTAGACAGTTGGTCGTACGTGCGTATCCTAAGGAAGTTACTTGGCTACCTTATATTAGAAGTATAAACCAAAATCATGTAAAGACGAATTCACGCGTGCATCAATATTATAAATATACAATATATAGAGATCATAATATAGATATGTAAAACAAATGGCATATTACGTTTAGTAAAAATATCAAACGTCCAACGAACATTTCAACTGCAACATTATCATAGCGGAAGGATTTTATCGATTAACTATACAAAGTAAAACAGATTATTATCCGCTATTAATTCAACGCGTGGACGCAATTTCCTATGTAGTTATATCATTATCTGTCTTGTCATTAGTTTCTGTATATTATTATTCATATTTGTAAATATAGTTTAAATTACCTGTAAAATGTTGTCTGTAATTATGATATATTGATTATAAAATATGCTTTATCTTTTTTACAACGCATTTACAGTAATCGATAAATATTAAATTTTCCTTCCCCTCCTCCTCCCTCTTTTTCTCTCTCTCTCTCTCTCTTTTTCTGACATGTTGAGACTGTATAATTTATTATAATTAAAATTATTTATAAATTATAGCACTCTTTTAGAAAGCTTTTTAGTAATAAATCTGCATTTTTATCTAAAAATGGCATTGTAATTTAGCATCATAATTTAGCAAACTAATTCAATTTATTGAATTTCATGTGTTCAATATCTGCAGAATCGTTACAATTACGCAATCGCTCATAATCCTCATAAGTCTCGATAATACCTTTGTGAATGTAAAAGCTCTACCTGTTCGGTTTTGGATATCCGCGTAGCTTGTACCTTCTAAAACGATAACGCAGGCGCTATTATACGCATACGTACGCAAATGCATTTTGCATTTATCGATATGTAGCGAGAGTACCTAGGAATCGCATACATCAATGTAATGCCGTTATATAATTCGCTTCGATCTACCATTTCAATATTTGATTTAACTGATTACACAGGATGTGTGGGAAGATTGGAAATTTATAGCGGCCCGGGTAGAATGCGATGTATTATTCTGCGTGATTGCAGTTTCTTTTATAGCAATTACGAGAAAAAAACAAATCCAATGTGTTATTCTGCGTGATTGGTAGTTTATTTTATAGCAATTGCGAGAGAATAATACATCCTTGTGTAGATATCAAATAATAATTTATTGAAGCAATTTTTTTTTCTCAATTTTACCACTCATATTTTTATCCATAAATTAAAACGAACGTGACATAAATATAATATATATGATACATATATTTAATAAATATCTAATTAATGTATCTCAATAATTTTAAAATAATTGTTCTCCGATCTATTTCGTACTTTCTGCATTATATGGAACGTGGCATTTCATTTCGTTTCATTGCAAATGCTACGGAATTATTCTGTTGTAGAAAATATTCGAATTTCAATGGAAAATTTGCATTATATTACGGTAAATTATTACAAACAAGCGGAATTAAGATGCACCGACATCGAGCATACAATTCATTTCCACGATGTTAATTCGGGCGAGCAGATTCAGTTCGAGAAATTCATATCGTATAGTTGTATAGATATTACGCCAGAGTTCGCGTAATATCTATACAACTATACAGAGAATCGTCTCGTTTTTATAAAAACCACGCAATAAATTCACAATTACTTCAAAAGATCGTTAAAATATATCGAGCAAAATATATCGATTCTCTCTACCGTAATTCTGCTGAATCCGCCGTTGCAAGAGACGGCGCAACTAGCCCGTCTGTGTTGCCCTTGTAGGCTACGCTTTGCGGTTTACACTATCAAAGCCTTTTCCCTACGTAGTGTGCACTGTCACCGTGCAGCTTCGTTTGCAGTGGTTTGATGGTCGCGTCGCATCAGCCGTAACGGCACCGGCTCCTTAAGGCAAAGCAGAGCTTATCTGGTACATCTTGGAATTACTCGCGACTCGCGAGAACAGAGAAGGCAACTCCCACCTATCGAAATAATTATCTGCCTTAAAATATGTTTTTCATCGCAAAATAGAATTTTGGAGATGCACTCTTAGAAATGAATAGTTCTTTGTACAAAGAACACTTCTCTTCTCGACATTAACCAAATTATGAGAAAAAAAAAGAAAGAGCGCGATTGTCTGTCTTAATGGATATTTCAATGCGAGAGAAAAATCGGTATCCATCGAGAAACGACAAAGCTATAATATAATCGATACTATATAATCGTACATCGGGCGCGCGAATCATACATATTCTTTTTTTCTTATTTTGCATTTATGACGTTAATTACGCATTGGCCGTAAACGACTCGCCGACCGCGCGAAGAAAAGCGACGACGTCAATGCGTCCTTTGCAACGCACACGCGCGTTTACGGGCGTTGCGCACGAGAAAACGACCTTTAATAAAAAGATTAATATCGCGGAATAAGAGTAAAACGCGCTGTCCGTGGCGTGATAAAGTGCCGCGGCTAAACAGGAAAATAGTAAAAACCGAGGGCAGGCAAGCTGGCTTTATCGAATCACGCCGCGCGTGTTTGCCCGCACGTAGATAGGGTACGGAGGCGGCCGCATTATTTGTACCTTATCGTACGCATTACCCGCGCACGCACCGCGAATGCATCGTGGAAGATTGTAAAAGTTCCACGCAGGTCGCTGCAAAGCAGCTCGTCGCACCTTTAATTAAAATCGTTCAAGCCGCACCTTTTTAACGATCGATTCGTGTCGTAAATGTTATACGCTGTTATATGCGGTATACGCCTCCCCATTTTTACGTTCGCCGGTGCTTTTCTTTCTGAGTCCTGCCCGATTAAAGTATCCTGACCATGAAGGTAGTAATTATTGCGATAACGATCTCGCGTGCATTTTTCACACGATAAAAATGTTTCTTCTCGCGACATGAAGTACTGCCATACAACGATTAATAATGCGTAATATTAATCACACACTAAATGATTTAATATATAATACAATTTAAATGATATAAAAATCATAATTATTAAATTGCCGTATTTTCACACAATTTGAGGATAATAAATATCTATAATGCGATTTGTCTTTCAACCGGAAAAAAAGTTCTCTCAATTGAAAAAAAATTGTTGTTATTAAATATTTAAAATAGCACTTTTAAAATATTCATTTTTGCACGCACACGCACACGCCAATACAAATACACACATATATTTCCTTGTTTTTTTTTGTGGAAAGGCAAATTTCCGCTTTATAGAATCAAATTTCATTGAAGCAATAACAGATACATAACTACCATCATGTATATCCCCTATATAGAGCGTTTTTATCAAATATTAATTATTGTTTTTTTCTCACATCGTTTTAGCATGGGGCGTATCGCATCGGGAAGTGCTAAATGGAAACAAACTGGCTGAGGCAGTAAATAACGCTGTCGATAACGGGTGCTCGATAATACGTGGTTGCGAACGAAACGCTTTACTTCCGGGGAGATTAAATGAGAGTAAAATATGATAACGCCCTGCGTATTCCCGTCAATTCAAACACAAAAATTTTTAGCGTAACATGAATTGCAGGAGCAAGAAATGAGGAACAAGGAATTTAAAAAATCTCTGTAATTTTTAACATGTTTTGTAAATAAACGGCATTCACGGAAATTAAAAATGTCAAAGACAGGCACGACTATCGTATGGAATATTGAATTGTGAATTCTAATTGTTGATGCTGTATCGATATAACGAAGTAATTGATGGTTCCTGTTATGCAGCTTGACCTAGTTTTAACTAAAACAATGTAGCTTAAATGGAAGCTCCGTTATGTGTTATTTTATCGTAGTATATAAATTTGGTATATATA